ACTGAACTTTGTATAGGAGTCTCTAACCAGAAGCTTCGAACCGGAAGCCTGAAGCACAGCTTGTTTCCGCGTGAAAAGATTCGTCGCCTTTCAATTCGATGCCATGGCCCTTCCTGCGTAATAAGTTCCCAACACCATGAAGATGTCTACTCCACCTGGGACTTATTTTCAATCACCGGAACATGATGTTCCACACAAATTTCTAGCTAGAGGCCCCCCCCCGACCGGCCATGAGTGGCAGTGGGGCGTTCTTCTTCGTCTTTTGGCTTTCGCGGCTTCGACAGCCATGACCCTCAGTATGCTGTGTGAATCTGTAGAGGCGGCTTCGACGAAGCGCTTCAACCCCCTTGTCACTGCCAGCTGAGGCCCAAAGTCGAAGCGCGGGTTCAAGTCGATTGCCGCCGAGTTCGGACAACAAGCCACTGTCACCCGGCAGCAAAAGGAAGACGTCTGAGTCTACTTCCTAGAAATGTGAGCCTTGAGATCCAGCCCAGGCTAACGCCCTACGAAGCTCACGTAGCTTACGGCGTCCGTCACTTGGAGAGTGCCCTGCATCATGGTCTCTGAGATGCACACACCATGCTGGAGCGGCTTTCTCGCTCAGTGGAGCCAGTTGTCTTAAGTTTTTCTCCACGCAGTCGTGCCTCCCTGAGCCCTGTCTGTAGCAGCACGTGTTCACTGGCGCAAATCGCACTCCTGCAATTGGTTACAAGATTGCTCGTGGCCTTGCCACGAAGCTTCCGGAAGGCAGTACCTCGCTGCCTCTCGCTGGCGAAGATTTCAGGCTGGTCGTTAAGACTTTAGGCATTTAAATGTGCAGACTCGGTAGGAACAAGAGAACCTCACTTTCTTCCACCACACAACAACTGCTGCAGAAATTTGACATGGTGGACATAAAGCTTTCTGCTCAAAAAACAGTGTAGTGCCTCCTGCCGAGCTGTGCACATGGCCCAATCTTTGGATGTTGTCTCACGTCGCCAGCAGTTCTGCTCAGCTGATGAACCCCTTCAGCTGCTGTCCCCTTACTTGAGACATCGCTACGGGCAGCTGGAGCGTTCTCAGAGCCCGCCGGCAGCGCTGGTAGGCCGAATGACGGATTTGGTGAACCAGGAGCCCAGAGGGGAGGAAACTTCAGGTTCTGTGTGTAGTCTTTCTGAATTAAGTTACCTTGTCGTTTGGCATTTGGTTCCGCAAGATTTCGTGAGCCAGTTTCGCCATGAGACACACATGTTCCCAGCGAGTGATGTCGGCAGGAGTTTCGCATTCTCGATACGTGCATGAAATTCACCGAAGCTTGTGGAGAGATTGTGGCGGAATGCGAGAGGGCGGAGCAAGTTCCAGATGCATTGCTCTCGGACATGTTGGAAGAAGTGATGGACTACTGCCAGACCCTACAGCTATTCAGTCAGCAGCGCAAGGACACTGTGACGGCCATCGTCGAGATGGAAAAGCAAAATTTGGAGGAATTCCGCCGGCTCCATCAGTCGATTGAAAATGGAAAGAACTTTCTGACCGCTCTTACTGCGGTTGGAACCACTACAGTGGGAGCAGCAGTTGCCATAACTGCCGCAGGTCCAGTGTCGTTGGTGGCAGCAGCCTTGCTGGGTTTGGCAGCAGGAATCAAGAACCAAGAGCACCGAGATGCAGCACACAGAGTCCAGCAATCATTGGTGGAGAACATGCAAGCAAAAAATGTGCCCGTTCAGTGCCCCGTCCTTTTTCCCCGAGGGTTGCAAGTGCTTGCCTGTGTAAGAGTTTCGGCATGACTCTGGGCTGAGGTGCATGGAGACCTTCGCCAAGAACTTGGACGATGCCGTTGGAGTTATTGCCAAGGATGGTTCTAAGATTTCGGGGCGCTCTGCTCGCATCAAGCGCCGCATGGACATGATTTCGGAAGAGATCCACGGTGTGCAGATGAGCCTCAGTTGCATGTTCTTGTTCTTTGCATCGAAATGAGTTGCCTTATTCGGTCGCTTCTAGCCTTTCCGCAGATTCATGTCTGTTTTGTCACAGCCGCCCTCATGCAATATACACCGAGGGCTGCTTCTCAGAACTTCCTGAGTTTGGCCAGTGATCCTAAGCTCGCGGCGGCCTTCGGCATAAATGAACAAAGGAGGCTTTTGATTGCGGAGCAATCGCTGACTCGTGCAGCTGTGTCCTTGAAAGGATGCATGGGCAGTGTTGGTGGCGGATGAGACGGACGGCTTTTGATCTAGGGAATCTAGGGATTCACGTGGATGTATCAGCAGGCCCGTCGAGGTGCAGACTTTCAAGGCTTGGCGCTTCCTCGCAGCTTCCGAGTGTAGTACGCTCAAATCCTGCGAATTTCGCGACCATTGGGCACACGGAAAAGCAGAAACATGCGTTCAAGCTTGTGCTTTCCGAGTGTTGCAGCTTGTGTTCTGCCAGTTCTCAGTTTTTTTGTGCGCTCATGGCGGTATGTGTATTCGCTCGGTCGTCCTTATGCTTTGATCAGCGGTTCAAACACGTGGGCAAGCTCAAAGGTCGGCCGCACTGTTGCCTTCCTGACCAGATGAGCCAGGTCATCACGATCCCCGCTGCTGGTCCCGCCTGGTGTCGTCAGATGCCTCCATGTGATGGGCAGGTTCCAGCAGCCCCAGCACTTCAGAACTACGTCAGGGGAATCTCGGATGATTCATCTACGAAATGTTACTTTAAGTGAGCTGAGTGCAACCCCTGGAATTCAGCTGGTGGATCAGGTTTAACCGATTGTTTGGCAGTTTCTCCTTTGCCTGTGTGTCACGTTTGGTCATGATCTCTTTCCAAGGACTGGAGTGCCTTATTGGCAGGCTTTAGGAGATGCCCGATAGCTTGCTGAAAATGGACTTGCAGAATGTACTCTACCGCTACTTTGCCGAGAGTGCGCGTGTGTTCAAGCAGATCCAGCACAGTATCCGTTCTGGAGAAGCAGAGCTGTCAGTGATTAGTGATGGTGAAGAACCAGCAGCTGAAGATTTGGCAGCAGCTTTTGTTGACTTCATGGAGGCTGTGAACTCGTTCTGCAGTTGGAGATCCGATGGACGCCGCGACGTGGAAGAGAAGTTGAAAAGAGTTCTGCGATCAAACCGGAGGCTATCCGCCTTGCCTTGGAAACGGAGTGCAGCTGCCTGTGTGTGCCTGTTGGTGTGTGGCGCCGTCAGCTTTGGAGGTGCTTTGGCTTACAGGCTGCCGATGTTGTGGATCCTTGGAACAGCGGCGGGTACGGCCTTCGCGGCTTTGATGTTCTGTTGCCTTCGACGCCGGCAGGATGCACAGCAACTTGGAGGTTTGAAGACGCTGTGGGAGAAGATGGGAGTTCTGGAATCCAACGTGGACGGTTTGCTCCGATCTTGGAGTTCAGACTTGCACATGCTCTCCCTCCGGAAAGCTCTTGCCTCTGCCCAGAGCATCCGATGCCAATTCGACCAGTTTCTGCAGCAACTGCAGATGAAGGCCTTAATTTTCGATCCTTCTATATAGTGCCTCTGGCAAAGCAGTCCACTAACATGTGTGGCACGAGGTCTTAAGCTATCTAGTTTTGCTGGTAGCATGTGGTCGGCATTTTGAACAGTCGCTCGAAACATATGAGAGGTATACTATCAGCTCGGCGATTGGCGTAGTACGCTTGTATTCTGGGCAAGCCGGTTTTGACGAAGACGTTTCAACGCGATGGAAAAGCCGGGTGCAGCAAGCATGGGAAGAGTATTTGGAGCCCTTGAGTCGTTCATTGCTGAACATTTGTCTAGATTGAATGGCAATGTATGGACATGTGGTATCACGGACATACTATTCCAGGCCGGTGCGATGGAATGCAAGCGGCTGGCGCACATGTCAGACCTGCATTGTCCTTTGTGTTTGTTCGTAAATGGCTTCTCGAGGCAAGTAGGCAAGTCAACAAGGCACACACACAGCCACGTCATCGCATGTGCCCTTGTGCATGAACGAGTTGTAGGTGTTGTGACAGGCTCAAAAGAAGTCACAGAGGCTCTGGTTGCGACTCCGGCTTTTCGCCATGGCTGAGAGTTGTGACGTGTTGGCGCGGCGGCAGCAGCCTTTGCAGGTTGAAAGCCCAAAGATCGGCCAGCTTTTGACGGAGTACGGGAAGTTTCGAGTGGAGGAGCTCAAGAAGGGCAAGGAGATCCCACCCGAAATGGTCCGCCGGATGAAGCTTTTGGTCAACCAGGACCGGGTGATGGCTTTGATGGTTTAAGTGTTGTTCCATGTTGGCAGTTGACGTGCAGCTCTTTGTTCGGGCTAGACTTGAGCTGGCTTTGAGCAAGCAGTAGCAAGGCGACAATGTGGTGCAGTGCTCCGTTCTCTCGTGCTTTTTTTGTCCTTACACTGCGAGAAAGGCGGGTGTGCATGCTGGCTGTCCCTTCCGTTGTTTGGCTTTACGCAGCGGTTGCTAGGCCAGGGGTTTGGTCGGGGGCAGTTTCGGCAGCGAGGAGTTTCGCATCGTGAAGCAGAGCCGGATCTTGAAAGACGTCTTGGATGAGATTCTTCGTGCCTGCGAAAGAGCAGAGACCGTACCAGAGGCTGAGCTCCGCGAGAAGCTTCAAGATGTAGAGGAATACTACACGGATTTGGCGGAGTCCAATCAGGAGCGTAAGGACAATGTGAGCTGCATCCTCGGTGCCGAGCAAGAGCACTTTCAAAAGTTCCGGAAGCTCTATGATGATGTGGATTGGGAGCGCAAAACTTCCGGTGTGTTGTCTGGCTGTGGTGCTGCTGCAGGCTTGGCTGTAGGACTTGCAGCCATGTGTCCTGTGACACTTGTTGGCGTAGCTCTCTTTACAGCTATCAGTGGAGTGGCAACCGCGGAGCATCGCTCTAACGCCATGCGGCTTCAAGAGTCCTTGGTTAAAGACATGGAAGCCAAAAACGTCCCGATGCAGCCGCTCGACGGTGATGTTCTCCGGGGAGGCATTTTTTTGTCGCTACTCATACTCAAATTTCGTAACCACCATGACTTTGGCTTGACGCTGACCACTGGACTTCTGCTTGAATTGTGTTGTTCGCTGGTGGTCGGCCCGAAGCAGCAAAAACAAAAGGAGTGTCTTGTGTTTTGTGCTTTGATTGACCTACCAAGGTATTTGGAGACCTTGGCAAAGAATTTGGATGACAGCATTGCGAGGCTGGAAATCGATGCTGGCAAGGTCTCCGGCCGATCTGCTAGGGTCAAGCGCCGTGTGGACATGATGTTGGAAGAGATCCAGGGCATTCAAGTGCACCTTAGCTGCCTTAGCTGTTTGCTTCCGCCATTCTCTCTACTTTTCGATACTTCTTGCTGTGGTTAAGATCTTGGGACCAGACAACTCAGGGCTGCATGCCAGAACTTTGTGGGCTTGGCCAGTGATCCGACCCTCGCTGCAGCTTTCGGCATTACAGAGACAAGACGGCTCCAAGAGGTGCAGAATGAGCTGCGGAATGCTGCAGGAGCTCTGGGGATGTGACGTGAGACCCCCTTTCTTGAGACTTTTGGCCCTCACATGGTTTGTACACTGCTCCGGACAGTAGTTTGCTTGAGACGAGGCGTAGTACGCCTCTCCAGAACAGCAGCCGCGCCTGTCCAGCACGAGACTTTGCAAACACTGAGAGAAAAGCTTGGGGGAGCCGACGTCGCGCACTGGCTGCGTGTGCATTGCCGTGATTCGGTGTCTCCGGTGCATCTAGCATATCCAGCAAAGCAGCCACGGCCAGCCTACGCAGACTCAGGGTTTTTCGCAGTTTGGCTCCAGTAGTTCAGATCCGGAGACCCGTAGGTTGAGGCAGCATGAACCCGTGTGTGTTGGCGACGCAGTCCCACCGTCAGCAGCCTCGCCAGCAGATCGACTTGCAGTACCCTCAGCTTCGGAACTACATCACCAGAAACTGGGCGGCATTGAAGGGATGCGATGTGTACATTGACATGAATGATGCGCATTTTGCCGATAAGGGTCTAAAACCTCACATTAAGGTGTGTTCCTGTTGCAGTGTAGCTAACGTTCGAGCTCAGCTACAGCTGAGAGTTCCCTGTACAGGTCCCGTAGTGGTGAACTGCAATTAACCGGGAAATAGTTGGATGCCACGGAACCACCTACAGGGGTGCATGCAGGAATGTTAGAAACTATGGCTTCTGCTTGGCCATGCTGCGCACGTTGAGGGCCACATGGAAGGCTAGAGGCATCTGCTTCACATACCGCTTTGAGACCTCATCCGGAGTTTGCCAGTCAGACTGATCCGCATGACGAAACAAGGAAACAAGCCAATGCCTGGCCTATCTCGACCAAATCCGGCCAAGAAAGCAAGAGCGCCGTAGGAAGCGAGCGAAGACTCATTCTTCACGGGCGAAACCAGGCGAAACATCCTGCAAGATTTGTCTCCGAAATGATGCACCAAAACTTTGCAGAAGGACAAATCGCTGACTGTCCCTCATGTTTTTGCTTTCGGAAACAGTCCTCAGGTAGGACATGTGACCGCTGTCTGCACTCAATTTGCCCTTGATACCCTTGTGCCGAGGAGAGAGTTGGCTGTGGTTGCAAAGTCCGCAATGAAAAACTATTCATATTGGGCCTTCAAGCAAGTAATAGCATTAAGCATTAGGTAGGTACTACATTGTCATCCATGGGGCTGACCAAAAACCGCTCTACAGCATCTGAAGTACAAATGATGTAGAGTCATATCAATTTGTACCTAAGCAGTATAGGTCATGATCTCTTTCCAAGGACTGGAGTGCCTTATGACCAGGCTTCAGGAGATGCCAGATAGCTTGTTGAAAATGGACGTGCAGAATGCGATCTACCGGTACTTTGCGGACAGTGCACGTTTCTTCAAAAAGATCCAGCACAGCATCCGCAGTGGAGAAGCCGAGCTGTCAGTGGTTTGTGATGGTGAAGAGCCACGTGCTGACGACATGCAGAAAGCTTTTGAGGAGTTTCTCGAGGCAGTGGAAGCTTTCAGCTCTTGGACAGAGGCTAACAGAGCTGCAGTTGGAGATGATCTCAAGGACAGGTTTGACAAGGAAGCTCGTGATGAAATGAAAGCGGCAGCCGGTGGGGCAGCTGTCGCCGCCGGGACTGGTGCCGTGGCTACTGCCTTCTCAGGCCTTCCTGCTATTCCTGTTGCCCTTGCTTCCTTGGGCGCCTTCGTGGTTGGCGGTGGCGTGCTGGCACAACAGCAAGGCAGCTGCGCAGGGTTGCGCAAAGCGCCCCGCGATGTGGTGATGTCATCTTGGTATGACGCTGGACAGGCGGAAGGGGACATCCTTGTATTCCTATCGTCTTGGCCTGCGGAGTTCCACACGTTGTCATTTCCGTTGGCTTTGCAGAGAACCAGAGACCTCAGAGATGAGTTGGATCGCTTTCTGCAGCTCCTGCAGATGAAGGGCTTGATCTTTGACCCGTGCAGCAGGTCATCCAGGTTCCAGTGACGCGAATCTGCAGATCTTCCCATGACCTTCTGAGACCTTCTCGGTCGGAATGCTTTTTGCCTTTGAGGATTTTGGCATGTAGCGCTGCAGGTCGGCGTAGTACGCTGAGACGCAGGATGCTGCTGATGTGCGTGTGCGTGTGCGCAGAAACCGGGGTGTTCTCATGCCTTTGCATCAGATTCATTCCGGGCGAAGCCGCCCGAGTTGCAGATTGGCACAGACAGCATGAGCAAGAATTTAGCCAACATTCGATGCGAGTACGTTGACCAATGTAGTTTTTCTGCGGAGCCTGCTGGATTTGGACAGCAGCATTGCATCCTCTGATGCCTAGTCACTCCGTGCGTGCTTGCAACAGGTCTTCCTTCAGCGGATGGAGTCTGCCTCAGATGTTAGCTTGCGCACTGCGTAAAGCAGTTGAGTGTTCGAGAGTGCAGCTATTTGCGGGTGGGGGTTTTTGCACAGAGCAACACGTACATACACATATACGTAAACGTGTACATATACATATACGTATATACGTCTACATACATACATACATACATACAGACAGACAGACAGACAGACAGACAGACAGACAGACAGACAGACAGACAGACAGACCTACATACCTACATGCATACATGCATACATGCATACATACATACATCCATGCTTGCATGCATGCATGCATGCATGCATGCATGCATGCATACATTTTGTTTTCATACACAGGCATACACCCACCCACACACTCTCGTGTACGTATATGTACAGGCATTAAGATCTACGTGGTTGAGTTGAGATGTGCACACCCCAAGCCAGCGAGTCCACTGCCGGCGAGGCCTTGATGCTGCCGGCCAAAGCAGAGTGTCGTTGGAGGTGCTCCGGCTTCACGGCATGTTCTTCTTCTTGTGCCGCAAGTGCTGTGATATACGCATATACACTTAAATATGCACATCACTGCTTGAATATGTTTATAATATATTCTATACACATACATACAGGTTCGTATATAGATAAACAGTGACATGTGTGTCATGTTGCCGGCGCACAGCAATCTCGGTTCGAATCTCCATTCGCTCCCGGAAAAGCTCTTACATTTCTACATTCCTGGCCCGATGACCATGTCCTCAGGGCATTGTCGTTGGACAACCGCAAAGCCCGTAGCGGGCCTTCTCATCCTTGCGCTTGGCCGCCTCTGTTGCGCTGACTGCACTGGTGCGAGCTGCACCGCCACGGGGGCGTCGCTCTTGGCTCTGAAGGCGGAGACAACGGCGGCTTCCCTTGGGGACCTCGAGGAGCGCGGGTACCCCATCAACATGACCGTGAATGGCAGCAACGGGACTGTGGACACGCAGTTGGAGATGATCGTGGGCGAGAACGCCGAGCAAGACATGAAGGAGATGAACAGTATCCCGAATCCCGAAAATGCCAGCAGTAATGGAACCCACGGAATGGGCGAGTTGGCCCGCAACCTGGAGTTCCTGATGCTGAAGATCGTCCAGCTGGAAACGGTGGTGGAGATGCAACAGCATGAGATCCAGGACCTCGCTGTTTCTTGGCCAGGTCTCGTTCGTTCCTGACCACATGCTAATGTGGCAGTTTCTCCCTAGTATGCCACGAGCGAGAGTATCCGACAGGCAAGGCTCTTCGGCCGTGAGACGTGCAAAGCTTGCTTGCCGAAGCTTCTGAAATCCTTTGCTTGTCCAGGACCTCCGCAGCGTCATCGGCGAGCACTTCGACTTGGATCACAATGACACCACGGCTTCTCTGAAGCAGGTGGATCCCCAGGCCCGCACGAAGAAGGCTCAAGAGACCCTGAAGAAGGTGATGCAGAAGCACAATCACCAGCGCGAGAAGCGGGACTTCAGTCCGGAGGCACACCGACAGGAGCAAAAGGAAGAGCTCAACCAGGCCGAGGCCCAGCAGCGGAGGTTGCTTTCAAAACGTGACCAGGAGGCCAAGGACACCGTCCTGCTCGAGGCTGAGGCTGATGATGATATGGAGGAAGCCGAGGAGACGGAACGATCTTCCCGTCGACGTGGCTGGCCTCGACGCCGTCGCCGACTCTTCAAGGCAGTGGCAAAGACGGTGAGCGATGCCGGAAATGCCGTCGCCGACACCGCCTCCGACGTTGCGGCGGCTGCAAATGACGGCACGGGCCTCGTCGGAGACGCGCTGGGCGACGCCTATGAGCATGCAAGCGACCAGGTGACCTTCGTGGCCAACACTGTCATTGACTCGGTGGAGATGGCAGTTGACATCTTGGTCCGTGGCTTCTCTGACTGGAGTGCCGGTTGTCCTGACACCCGCACACCAGACATGCAGATTAATAAAGACGGCCTCCTTGTCGATTGGGGTCGTCAGAAATGCTGGGTCCGACTGATGGGCCACTGGGCTCTTGTTAAAGAGGGTTAAGGGTTTAGGTTCAGGGTTTAGGGTTTAGAGTTCACTTAACTTACCATAGCAAGGACCCCATTACCTACAGATCACCATTACGGTAACTCAAGAAACTAATCCCTTACCCCTAAACACCCATACAACCCCTAAAGGGACCCTTAAGGGAGCCCTAAACTTTACCCTAAACCCTACGCTGAAAGGAGCCCTACAGCATCCGAGCCCGTACAGTCGACCCCTAGAGGAGCTCAGTTAAAGGAAGCTTAAGCCCTAAACGCTACAGGGTTTAGGTTTAGGGTTTAGGGTTTAGGGTTCAGGGTTTAGGGTTTAAGGTTCAGGGTTCAGGGTTTAGGGGTTGTAGAGGCCTCTGAGGAGCCCAGCAAAAAAGGAGCCCCCAAAAGTTCTCCTCCGAGCTAAGGCCAGACTTGTAACCTCTTCGACTTCAACTTTGGCTCTGTGGCCCTGCACTGGCCCGAGCCCCTGAAGACCGTGATCGGCTTCGGCTTCTGGGCTCAAGAAAAAGGCACCCCCCCCTAACTAAAGTTATCATAATAGGGATCTGTCTCTTTCTAGATGTCTATATCTCCATATATATATATATCTATCTATCTATCTATCTATCTCTCTATCTATCTCTCTCTCTCTCTCTCTCTCTCTCTCTCTCTCTCTATCTATCTATCTATCTCTCCCTCTCGCTCTCTCTCTTTTTTTTCTCTCTCTCTCTCTCTCTCTCTCTCTATATATATATATATACATACATAGAGAGAGAGAGAGAGAGGGAGATAGATAGATAGTTATAGATGGCGAGAGAGAGGGAGAGAGAGAGTAAGACCTTTGCGTGATAGCTTCCAAAAAGGCCTGAAGAAAGAGCCTAGGCTTGAAGCCCATCCGCTCCATGTTCAACTTGGGCGCCGACCTGGTCAGCTGTGCGACCTCGGGCACCGCCGTGGAGGCCTGGAGCGACTTAGGGTTTAGGGTTTTAGGGTTTTAGGGGTTTAAGGGTTAAGGGTTTAGGGTTTAGGGGTTTAGGGGTTTACGGGTTTAGGGTTTAGGGCCGAGGGCTTCCTAGGGCTTTTCTCAGGGGTTTAGGGTTTAGGGCGAGGGCTTTCCAGAGGGGTTTGGGGCGTAGGGCGAGGGCTTGTGTTAGGGGTTTAGGGTTGAGGGCTCGGGTTTTCTAGTTAGCCCTAAACCCTAAACCCTAAACCCTGGTTTCAGACCTTGCTTAATGGCGTCCTTTGTCGGAAAATACTTGATGCTCACTCCTCCGATGGTGTGTTTTGACCGGGGCCCAAGCTGAATGCTAAACCTTCCCTTTAGAGTTGGCGACAGGGGTACGCTGCTGGAGACATTCCTGCTTCAGTGCGTATTCAGTGCGTACTCATTCGTATTCCCAGAGTTTCAAGACTGAAGTGGCGCTCTTCTGAAGTTGTCTGTACCGTGGGCAAGAGCGGCAAACGAAGCTTCCGTTCTTCTCTGGGTTGCTGTAAGGATTCTAAATCGCAGGACTGGTTGAGCACTAGCAAAGAGCTTAAACTTGTGAGAACTCAGAGAGAGAGGGAGAGAGAGAGAGAGAGAGAGAGAGAGAGGGAGAGAGAGTTTTGAACATCGGCGTTTCCTCTCAGCTGCCACTACGTGGGGGACGGGACACACGAATTGCCACGTGCATCGAACTTCTGCGCCCCAAAGATGCAATGTTTCATCGGGACCTGGGCTTCATAGCTTCAGTGAGTCATGTATGCATGAATTTCGAGACAGGAGGTGAAGCAAGTGCAACTTTGGTCGGGGAGTTGAGGCTTGCGGCGGCTTGGGCCCTAAACCCGAAACCCTAAACCCTAAACCGTGGGTGCTTTTGAGAACCGGAGCCTGCTGCCAAGACAGTGCCGGCACGAAGGGCTGAGACTGAGGTGATCCCCTTAACCTAAGATTGAACGGGGGCCCTCAACCTAACAAAAAATCTCGGAAAGTGTTGTTTATTATTATTATTACTCAGGGGGGGTATTTTATATTTTAATCTCTACTGTCACTTTTGACCCTAAAGCCCTAAAACCCCTGAAGCCCTCAATGTGGCCAAGCCCTGCCAGGTCGTGAAGTGCCTGGGCTTCCGGCTGATCCAGGAGGTTCCGCCCCTGAACCTCCTGACCAGGATGAGCGAGATGCTCACGGAGTTCATCGAGGTGGGATTCTCTCCCCCTATAGGGTTTAGGGTTTTAGGGTTTAGGGCTTTAGGGTTTAGGGTTTCAGGGCCTGAATTCCTAAACTTCCAAGCCCTCTTTCGAGGAGCCCGAATCTCCTATCTCCCCAAAATGGGTTCTCCAGTCTTGCCGGCACCCCCTTCAGGTCTTCGCGCAGGTGGCTACAGTGGTGGTCAGGCAGAGGATCTTGTGGGAGAGCGCTGTGTTTCTAGACAGGTGGCTGCTGTCAGGTAGTCGGTTTCATAACCCTAAACCCCAAAACCCTAA